ACAGTGGCAGCCATTTGGGGAAGGGTTTCAGTGGCCTAGCTCCTCCCAGTGCAAGCCCCCGGTTCTGAGGATTGCCCAGGCGCCTCCTCCTCTTTCTGTCTGAGCTCAGAGCTGCTCCCACCTTTTACTATTGTCCTCCCCGGCAGGCATTTTGGACCCTGATTTTCTCTTGAAATGCAACCCTATATCTTTCAAGAATTTCTCATAATTTGTATAGATTTTTTAACTGTATTGCTTTAAATTTGTTTCCTTTCTTCCTTTTTAAAAAATAACTTTTTGTGGTGAAGGGAGAGACTGGAGTACATATTTAATCTATCACTTTTATTCCATTACAGCTTATTTACTTTCAAGCATTTTTCTATGTAGACGTTTATGCTAATATAATTTCAGTCATTGTGTATATAAGGTTGTGTCATGATTTTCCGGTTAACATTTTAACAGAAACATTTCCATATTGTAACAAACTACTTACAAACACCATTTTTAATGGCTGCCTATATTCCATCAAGTAACATACCATAGTCAGCATTTAAATGTATCTATTTTTTCACCTATTACAAATCAGATGACATAAAGTTCCTCACTTATAAATCTTTTCTATGTAGAAGGTTTTAGGTGAATGTCAGGGTTTATATAGACTCCCAGCAACCATTTGGAGTCACTCCTGATCTACTAACATATAACACACAAACACATTTCATATATAATATATACATGTGTATTTATGTATATATAATGTACATCGCATGCCTAAAACATATACACTCATTCTCAGAATATACAAGTCTCTGTATATTATTATGTTTCTTTTGGATTATGTCTTTGAAAACTAAGATTGTAAATCAGCTCCATAGCAGGCCTAGTCCAAGACCGGGAATGTGAAATATCCTATCACATGATGCCTGTGACGAAGGCCAGCTGCTCCTTGTTGCATCATTCTCCACGGGAGGGGGTGACACAGCAATGGAGACCACATCTTCTGGACCCAAATTGGGGCACAGAAGTTGTCTATGACCATTCTCAGAGATCAGGGACGGAGTATGAAACCACAGATATAGTTGTTGTTGTTGTTTACCTCCTGCCACGTGACCGACCTGATTCTCTTCCACGCTGCAGCTCAGTCTATTTCACCTGCATCACCAGAGGCACCTGTGCTGGTTCCAGATGTGTGCACATGAGGCTCACGGCTCCCTTTCTACTCTGTCTCCTTGGGTTCTTTTTGCCTTTGCACACCTTCTCTGTTTAAAGGAAGGTTGAAGGAGATTAACAGATAATTATGTGAAGTGTTAAGGAATATTACTGAAGTTTTTTCTTGTATTAGTTTGCTGGGACTGCCGTAACAAAATACCACAGATTGGGTGACTCAAACAACAGAATTTTATTTTTATTTTTTACATTTTTTAAATGAACAGAATTTACTTTTTAAGAACAGTTTTAGGTTTACAGGAAAATTCAGAATAAAATCCAGATAGTGTCCATGTGCCACCTCAGACCCTCCTCCTTATATGCAGTCTCCCTTATTATTATTTATTTATTTATTTATTTATTTTTGTTACAGATGTTTCTCCTTTTTCTCCCATTTCTCCTGATCCCCTCCCCCGGCCCCGGCCGCAGCATTGTTGTCTATGTCCATGGTTACGCACACATGCATGTAAGTTCTGTGGTTTATCTCTTCCCTCCCCAACACCCCCTGACGCCCTCTTCTGAAGTTTGTCAGTCTGTACCCTACTTCTATGTCTCTGAGTCTGTTTTGTTCATCAGTTTCTTTGTTCATTATATTCCACAAATAAGTGAGATCATGTGATATTTGTCTTTCTCTGATTGGCTTGTTTTGCTTAGAATAATGCTTTCCAGGTCCCTCCATGTCGTCTCAAAGGATAAGAGATCTTTCTTTCTTACAGCTGCATAGTACTCCATTGTGTATATGTACCACTGCTTTTTATCCATTCGTCTACTGATGGACACTTGGGCTGCTTCCAGATCTTAGCAATTGTAAATAGTGCTGCTATGAACATAGGGGTGCATATATTCTTTCTGATTGGAGTTTCAGGCTTCTTAGGATATATTCCTAGAAGTGGGATCACTGGGTCAAATGACAGTTTAATTTTTAATTTTTTGAGGTGACACCATATTGTTTTCCATAGTGGCTGCACCAGTCTGCATCCCCACCAGCAATGTACTAGAGTCCCCTTTTCTCCACACCCTCGCCAGCACTTGTTGTTTGATGATTTGTTGATGGCGGCCATTCTGGCAGGTGTGAGGTGATACCTCATAGTTGTTTTAATTTGCATCTCTCTGGTGATTAGTGACCTTGAGCATTTTTTCATATTTGAACAACAGAATTTTATATCTCACAGTTCTGGAGGCTGGAATTCCAAGATCAAGGTGTTGGCAGATTTGGTTTCTACTGAGGCCTCTCTCCTTGGCTTGCAGACGGCCACCTTCTCGCTGTGTCCTCACATGACCCTTTCTTTGTGTGCCCTCATCCCCGGTATATCTCTTCTATGTTCAAATGTTCTCTTCTTATAAGGACAGATTGGATTGAGACCTGTCCCAACATGCCCTGGCCAGTTTTGCTCAGCAGTTAAAGCATTGGCCCGCTGACCAAAGAGTCTTGGGTTCGATTCTGGTCAAAGGCATGTACCTCGGTTGCTGTTTGGTCCCCAGCCCTGGTTGGGGTCATGCGGGAGGCAACCAATCAATGTGTCTCTCTCACATCGATGTCCTCTCTCTCCCCCTCCCACTCTGTCTGAAAATAGATGGAAAAATGTTGTCAGGTAAGGATTTTTAAAAAGAGACTGTCCCAATAGACTTGTTTTAATTTACTCACATCTTTAAAGGTCCCATTTCAAGTACAGTCACACTCTAAGGTCGTAGAGATTAGGGTTTCAACATATGAATCTGGGGGCAGGAGAACACATAACATTCCTTGAGATCAATAACATTGAACTTATTTGGAAACCCAGAGATTTAGGTAGTAAGCGCGTGATTGTTTAGAGCTTTTATGTTGAATACAGATGTGAACTTGTCTATTTTCAGAGCCCTGTGATTTTGCTCCCTGGGAAGGGTTAGGTTAGCTTCCTATAGTAATTCCCCACCTGTGCAGGGACTTAATAGTGGTAGAAAGACAGGGATAGACCACTCAGGAAATGGAATAAGAAATAAGACAAAAAAATGAACACCAGAGAAAAATGATAGGCTATTTTAGTCATTAGGGTCCAGAATAAAGTTTATGGCTCCTTGAATGTGATCATCATTTATTTACATCAAAATAATATTTTGTAAAAACCTCCACAAGTTTTTTGGGTTTTGTTGTTTTTTTTTGCCCATAAGGTAAAATCCAAATTCCCATGGTATTACCACACCATCCCACCTTACCTAGGCCCTCTGCTCTGTCTCTGCTGGTCACCTCTCTGTCCCACCCCAGGAGCAGTCCTCAGCCAGTGACCGACAGGAGTGGGACGTGCCCTGTGTGGGTAACCAACTGGTTTGCCTGGGACTGAGCCGTTTCCTGGAATGCGGGTCTTTCAGTGCTAAAACCCGCAGTCCTGGAAACAGGGATTCTTGGTCACCCCAAGTCCAGTCCCTTAACCTTTGAGTGGGATAACTCTGAAGCTCAAAACTATTGCTCCGCTCTAGCCAGGCCTCTCACTTGGTTGGAGTGTCATCCTGTACACCAAAAGGTTGTGGGTTCAATCACCAGCCAGGAGGCAACCGATTCATGTTTCTCACATCTCTCTCCCCACCCTTCTCTCTTTCTCAAATCAATAAACATATCCTCAAGTGAGGATTAAAAAAAAAAAAAAAAAAAAAAAAAAAGCCCGTCCAGTGTGGCTCAGTGTTTGAGCATCGACCCATGCACCAAGAGGTTTCCGGTTCAATACCTGGTCAGGGCACATGCCCAGGTTTTTGGTCTGATCCCTGGTTGGGGGGTGTGCGGGAGGCGGCCAATTAATATTCTCTCTCATCGATGTTTCTATCTCTCTCTCAAATCAATAAAGACAAAGAAAAAATATTTTAAAAAGAAAAAATAAACTATTGCTCAGAGTTCCTCAATAGGACTGAACTTCAGTCGCCAATACACATAACTCACTTGATAACGTACAGCTATGGACTGTCTTCCCTTCCATCTCCCTTCCCCCACTCCCCTAACACTGCTTCCCAAGGCCGTCTCCAAAACAACTACTTGATGTTTCAGTGTGATTCTGAGGTAGCCAACCTAAAACAAATATTGTTCCTTAATCTCCCAAAAAGAAGGTGAGGAGATTTGGGATGAAAGGTGTGGGTTGAGAGAACATTGTTGCAGATATGAGATGATACTGATACAGTTACAAAGACACGGGATCTTTGGGCAGCTGGGCCTGGGCAATATGGCCTGAGGGTCAGGAGATGTGAGGGTACAGTTCTTAAAGCAAAGGGGGAGTGGCAGGACTTTTATCTACAGTTGCATGACAGTCATTTGTGATGAGGGGAAGCAACCTACCTGTCAGAAATGCTGGCGCGTTAAGTATATCTGATGGGGGGCACTTGCTCTTGCTTCAGGTGGGGAGCTGAAGGAAGAGGAGTTTGCAGCAGCTTGGGGAGGTGACAAGAGCTTGGACCAGGGTGGCTGCAACGGGCTGGGGAAAGTTGAGAAGGAAGTTCAGTGCAATTTCTTTGTGGAAGAAAAATGTGTGGAGGGAGGTACTAATGTGATTCTCAGAAGAGGGGCAGTGACATTCCTTGTTCAGGGGTGTGGAGGTGAGTCGGGCAAGTGTCACTCAGCCATCTGCCAGGGGCCCAGCATCACAGGGAAGCCCATCTGGGGAATAGGTCATGGAAAGGATGTGGGCAGCTCTGTACTTTCCTGGTAAGTTTAAAGGCTGATAGAATATGTATCATATACTGCAGTGGAACCGTCCCATGAAGGATGTATGGAGACACAGATTCTAACATGGTTCATTTTATGACTGTCTTCCCAGGTTCTTCTCCAGCTTTGAGTCCAGGAGGAAAGCCAGACAATGATTAGCATGTTTAGGGCGGCATCGTGGGCCTTTAAGGGTCTTCATTGCACCTCAGTCCTTCTCTCAGCAAGAATGAGCAGCAAAACGGCAGATAGAAGCTGTACCCTGGCTGGGAAAGTGGCTGTCATCACAGGGTCCACAAATGGGTGAGTGAATGGGAGTCCACGTAACGAAAACATGTTAAAGTCCCCATCCCAGAGCAGGGGATGTCCTTCTCACACGTCCTTCCTGACACCCCCACCTCATCGCACAGCTCTGGTATTTACAGTTAACTCCAAATCTCAGCATGTCTTCCTAGAACATTCTAAGTCCCAAGAATGATCGATTTAGAAAATCAGCTTCTTCTGGTTCAGTCAGAGCAATGTTTGAATCTAGTCTCTGCCACTTAAGGCTGCATAACCCTAAGGTATTTAATTTGTCATCATCATCAGGACCGCCCTCTTCCCTGTCCTTCACGAGCACGTGGCCATGGTCTGCTAGGGTCCTGGTCTAACAGGGGGAAGCCTGAGACCTCTTCATCTCTCAGGGATTTCATTGACTGCAGTGTTCACCGGCAGTAGCGTACCGCGCAGGGTGATGTCTCTAGACCAGCTCAGAGAGCTTACGTAGGTGAACCTCTCCTGGTCACATCTCTTCCTATGTCCTTTCAATTCCACTCATCCTCTAGCACCCATAATGGGCCACAGTCTGTAATGAGTCATTACCGTAGGCAAGGGGGGAGAATTCTGGTGTTGAGTGCTACAGGGGCTCTGTCTTCCTTTTAACCTTTTATGGTCAAGTTTAGATCCCTTTATTTTAGAACTGTTAATATTCCAGACTTCCAGATCCCCATGATGTTTGTTTGTTTGTTTGTTTGTTTTTCTTTATTGATTTTAGAGAGTGAGAGAGAGAGATAGAAACATCGATGAGCGAGAACATCAATTGGCCACCTCCTGCATCCCCCCCCCCCCGGGGGGGATTTAGCCCACATCCTGGGCATATGTCCTGACTGCGAATTGAACCAGCAACCTCTTGATACATGGGTTGATATTCAACCACTGAGCCACACCGGCTGGGCCCTCACGATGTTTTAAATGTTTGTCCTTAATGCCCAGCCCTCATCACAAATGAATAATTCAAAATTCCATGCTGCCCCAAGAGTTTCTGTAAGAGAAGGGAAACGTTGTCTGCTCTTGCCCACAGGTGCTCATCCAGCCCCAGCCAAGAGTGCCTCAGACCTTAAGCGCGGAGGTGGAGAGGGGAGCAGAACATGTTCTCAGCATCAAAATTTAAAATTGCAGAGCAGAGGAGAGCTTTAAGGCTTATAGAAAGTGCAGTTTACACCAGAGGCCTCTGGCTAAAACAAAGGGAGAAAACACTGGGCAGTTAGAGATTCTCTACTACTTACCCTGGGTGCCCAGCACGTGTATATATGTTCTGATGGAACATTACTTTTTAAAAACTCCCTGTAATTAAATTGACAGGAAAATTTTCTCCTCTATATGATTATTATACATATAGTTGTGAGAATTCACTGGGTTAGTCTTGGTGAAGGCCTGATATATAGTAAACGTTCAATAGTTCCTCTTTCCCACTAGAAAGATTTGGAGGCAGCTCTTGGACCACACTGTGGATCTCAATTCGTGTCTCGTGATCAGCATCCCAGGAGGAGGGCTGAAGCCTTCACAGCCATCTCTGCCCACAGGATCGGCTTTGCCATCGCCAGGCGCCTGGCCCAGGACGGGGCCCACGTGGTGGTCAGCAGCCGGAAGCAGCAGAATGTGGACCGGGCAGAGGCAGCGCTGCAGGGGGAGGGGCTGAGCGTGACTGGCACTGTGGGCCACGTGGGGAAGGCTGAAGACCCGGAGCGGCTGGTGGGCAAGGTGAGGAGACGGGCAGGGGGTGGGGTGGTTGGGGGTGGTAGAAAGAGAAAGAGTGGTTATTTATTTATTTATTTTTATCCTCACCCAAGGACATTTTTCCATTTTTTGTTCAGGTAGAGTGGGAGGGAGAGAGAGGAACAGAGAGAGAGAGAGAAACATTGATGTGAAAGGAACACATTGAGTGGCTGCCACCCGCACAACCGACCAGGGCCGGGGACAAACTGCAACCGAAGCACGCGCCCTTAGCGGGAACCGAACCCGGGTCTCTCAGGACCGCAGGCCGACGCTCTAACCGCTGAGCAAAACTGGCCAGGGCAAGAGTGGTTATTTTTAAAACATAACCTGATCAAGTGAACAAGCAAACAAGCACGGGAATCAAGGCTGACCATGTGCTTGACATTCGTCACTCCAGAGCACACCCTACACCTGGACAGGTTCACAGATCTGGGTGGAGAGAGATGTTTTGAGTGTGATGAAGAGATACAGCTCTCCACCCTCACTTGGTGTGGTCCCATCCTGGATTTAACCAGGGAACTCAAACAGGAAACACCTCCCACTGCAGCAGAAAACTTCTTTTGCTCCCTCCTGGACCCTGGTCCTCATTGTCCGCTTCTCACTGCAGGCCCTGGGACACTGCAGGGTTGTTGACATCCTGGTGTGTATGGCAGGGGTCAATCTCTATGTGGGAAGTACCTTGGGGAGCAGTGAGCAGGTCTGGGACAAGGTGAGGTCTGGGGACACCAGGTAGGGCAAGCTGGATGCCATCCTCACCCTCTGTGCAACCCTCTCTCCACCTCAACTCCCACACACCTTCCCCTCACAGACTCACTGGCACAGAGCAAGGCCTGGTGCCTGGATTCTGGCCCTCGATTCTTCATCTATGAGATGGAGATAAGAGTGTCTACACTGCATTTCTGGTCCCCACTGTCCATGACCTTCCAGTCTGCTAGGAGGGTCCAACAGAGAACCAAATTATCACAATAAATATGGGGCAAAGAGAAGGGAATGACTCCCTTCCTTGTCTAAGAATGCTTCGTGCCCAAGGCTTGAACCCCAAAATCCAGCTCTTTTAGTTTCCCAGGGCTGTCGTAACAGAGTACCACAAACTAGACGGCTTAAACCACAGAAATTTATTCTCACAGTCTTGGAGGTCAGAAGGCATCAGCAGCGTTCGTTCCTTCTGATGTCTGTGAGGGAATCTGTTCTGTGCTATTCCCTGGCTACTGGTGGTTTGCTAGCAATTTCTGATGTTACTTGGCTTACAGAAGGAAGCATCACTCCAATCTCTGCCTCTCTCTCTCTCTCTCTCTCTCTCTCTCTCCCTCTGTGTGTGTGTGTGTGTGTGTGTGTGTGTGTGTGTGTGTCCAAACTTCCCCCTTTTAGGGCACAATTTATTTCAAATTAGGGCCCGTCCTATGACCTCATCTTAGCTACATCTACAATGATCCTATTTCCAAAAAGGTCACATTCTGAGGTACTACAAGTTATGACTTTAACACTGAATTTTAGGTGGTACACAGTTCAGCTCATGACACCAGCCTTCTCCAGACTCAACTGGTCAGTGCCTCCTCAGACCCAGATGAAACATTGTTCCAACTGGTGTCCCTGAAGACACAGGGAGACATCCTGCAGACTCTTGGTCTTTTACCTGCAAAGTCAGCCTGATCCCCAATATCCCTACTTTTTCAGGATGCCTCCCCCCATGTATATCAAAGAAAGCCAGCACACTCCCCACTTCCCATTGTCAGAAGCCATCGTGCCCATGTTCTAATGTGGTATATTTGCTAACAGAGTGGGAACATACACTGAACTGAATGTCTCTCCTCCTCTACCCTCATTTGCTCTGATTTCAGATCCTGAATGTCAATGTGAAGGCCCCAGCCCTGCTGCTGAGCCAGCTGCTGCCCTACATGGAGAACAGAGGTTAGAGGCAGGGAAGGGGGGAGAGGGGGAGGCATTTGGTATCAAATGTAGAGCAGAGGTGGTAGAATAAGAGGAGCCAGATGTTGAGTCAGACCCTCCTGCTGGGCAGCAGGCTTAGCTGAGCCAGTAATACAAGAGAAGTGAGCGGTTGACTTTCAGACTCAGGGTCAGCTACACAAACAAAAGAATTCTACCCATTAGTGTCATTCTCTCACATCTAGAATGCCCAGGGGGTCTGGCAAGGACTCTACTAGAAGCACAAGGGATCTACAGACAGAACAGTCCAGAGTCCCCACAGCTGTTCTGGAAACAGAGAAATGCGAGTGGTCTCTCTAGAGGAGTGAAAGTTTGACTTCATATTTCTAGGTCACTAAATTTCTAGGTACCCATTTTCTAGAGTGCCCAGAAGTCAGGCAGGGCCTCCAAAGGAAGAGAGAAATGAGATTCTAATAACAGGAAGGCCCAGAGTGGCCTCTCTTAGGTTGCATGTGGCAGGTCAGGGCACAAAAGTCCAGGTTGATGGCTCTGAGGCACCCTGCAGCCTGTCCATAACAAGAGAAGGTAGTGGAGTTTCCAAAGCCCACTCAACTCTTTACTCTTGGAACACCCGTGTCCTCCACTGTCTTCCCCTGCTCTGTGGGGGTGCACAGAACAGCCTGGAGCCCCATGGGTGAGTGAAGAGAAGAGGACAGAGACAAGGTTGGACAAGCAGGATGTTGCTAAAATATGGACAGCCTTGAATATTGTGATAAGGAATTTTGTCATTATTCAGGAGACAAAGGTGAAAATCATATGATTGTTTGTTATAATCATTTTAGGCATATTTTATCTTTTTTCCAAATTAAAAGAGAGCATAAAGAGAAAATATTTGAGGGACAAAGAAAGCATCTTGAGTATGGCTGGTGTGGCTCAGTGGTTGAGCGTCAACCTTTGCACCAAGAGGTCGCCGGTTCAATTCCCGGCCAAGACACATGCCCAGGTTGTGGACCCAATCCCCAGTGGGGGGCATGCAGGAGGTGGCCAATCAATGTTCTCGCTCATCGATGTTTCTATCTCTCTCTTCCTCTCCCTTCCTCTCTCTCTAAAATCAATAAAGGAAAAAAAAATAAAAATAGGAAGAAAGAAAGAAAGAAAGAAAGAAAGAAAGAAAGAAAGAAAGAAAGAAAGAAAGAAAGAAAGAAAGAAAGAAAGAAAAGAAAAGAAAGGATCTTGATTTAGGAGCCTGCACAGAAGAGACCCTGAGGGAAAGGGAACGGGTAGGTAGAGGGGAAAGAGAGGCAGGAACGCAGATTCCTCAGGGGACCAAACTGGTTCCAGAAAGGAAATTATAGTCAGTAGTACCTTCGTGTGAAAGGAAACTGGAGGGTAGAGAGGTGAGGTCTGACAAGGGTCATTAGACTTGGTGAGTGAGGAGCATTGAGGATCCTTGTGGACAACGTTTCCAGAGGATGTTCAGGCAGGGTTGTGGGGGAACATGGAGCTTCTGGGATTAAGGTCCTAAAGAATCCACTGGGAAGCACTTTTAATATTACTCCTAAGCATGCCTGGTATAGAACACCCTGAAAGCCAGCAGAGAACAATAGTCTAGAATAAAGGCAAATGTTGACTGTATTTCATAAAAGTGTTCATACTCGTGCTCCTTGATGGATATTGAGCATCCGAGTGTGTCATGAAACCATGAACCTGGTCCTGGCCCTCGGGGTGCTCTAGGAGAGAGGGGAGGGGCTGAAGGAAGGCAGGACAAGGCTCTAATCTGGACCTAAACTTCTTTCACTCACTTTCATGGTCCACAGTGTCCACTTGTTTCATGCCCCAGATGTGTGTATTTGCCCCGTTTGTATGTGGCTCCATCATATTTATCTCATCTTTCTCTTCCCAGGGGGAGCTCTGTGGTACTGGTCTCCTCAATTGGGGTCTACATCACAGAACCTGTAAGCATAAACTTCTATGGCTCTAGACAAACAAAAAAAAGGGACTTAGCCCCATTTGCCAAGAAAAGTGGAGAGGTCCAGGAAGGTCCCAGGACAGGCCACTGCTGGTGGGGCACACCTATACACATCTGGTCAATGGTGTCTCAGATCTTCCTTCTCCAGAAAGACATGCATGGCACCCTTTTCCCCTTTATTTATGAGATTCTCAGTGATTTCTGCACTTGCTGCTGAAGAGAGATATATTTCTAAGCACAGCCTAGAAATCCAACTGAAACTCTCCTTCTCAGTTACGTATATGTCTTCTACTTCCCTTTGTGATCACAGAAACTGGGTGCCTACAATGTCAGTAAAACAGCCATTCTGGGACTCACCAAGACCCTGGCAGGGGAGCTAGCACCAAAGAATATCCGGGTGAACTGCCTGGTGCTGGGAGACATAGACACAACCTTCAGCCAAGTGGTGAGTACCAAGGATAACTTCTGCTCCTAGCCTACTGAATGCCAGGGTGCCTTGCCCTCCTAGGCCATGTCCCACACAGACCCGGCCCTGTGGGCTCTTGTCACGACACACTGGTCCACTGCCTTTGGTGTCAGTAACAGAATCAGGACTTTAGTCTTCTGTGAGGGACAAGCTCCAGGTGTCCCGCAGAAGCCCCTCCACAAAGTGTGCGTGATGTGGAGTCCATGTGATTCCATCTGAGTGAACAGCACTAACCTTTTGAATTTTCCTTTAGCTATTTGAGGATCCAGTCTTTTGGAACCATATGAAGGCATTCCATGGAATACAGAGGTAGGTTGTGGGTGAGGCAGTGTCCTTTGCAGATCTGGGTTAATGTATCTTCAAACCTTCATGATGAATAAAGGTCATCACCACCTCTGCAGGTAATTACCCATTCCTCTTTCTGAGATTTGAGCCCCAGGATGAGGAAAAGTCCCTGCAGAGCCCACATATCTCCACTGGCAGCCTTTCTCTCACGACCATGGGGGTCTTGACTTCCCAGCATCCCGCAGGAGCCCAGGGCTCATGGGAGGCATCATCACTCTCAGTCTTACTTCTTCTTTCAGTGCAGAGTGGGTAAGCCTGAGGACCGCTCGGGACTGGTGTCCCTCCTCTGCTCTCCAGATGCCAGCTACATCCCTGGTGAGAACACTGTGGTGGCTGGCTTCTCACCCCACCGCTGAGGGACAGGAGCTCACAGCTCAGGCCTGCCTCTCACTGTAGAAGCCCCCGTGGCTCTAGGGCCACATGTTGGGACACCTCTATAAACGATGAGCCTGTGCTTCAAATACACACTTTAAGTTCAATATAAGCAGAGTGGGAAACAATAAAGAACATCAGAAAAGTGATTTTATAGCATGAAACTGTCATTCATGTTTTCACTTTCTTTCACCCCTTTCCCACCTTGGTAATTAGGAACCGTGGCCTAAGAGCATGGTTACCAAGAGATCAGAGTCCTCAGGGATGAAAGTCTGGGCCACCCCATTAGGGATGAGCAATCTAGACCAGAGGACACACTGACCAAGGGTGGAGGGAATTTAGAAAGGGGGTACACTGAGCTCGTTTGTAGCGGTGGGCAGTTCCTGGCACACTGACAGTTTCTCAAGCACCTGCACCTCCCAGCACCATGGGAGCTGCTTGGTCCGCACAGAAACAACCCAGAAGTACAAGGGAGTTAACGTGAGGAGAGCCAACCCTAACCAACAGAGGATGGGAATGGATGAATCCATGCCCAGACTCTCCACTTGGTTTTTTAGTGTCAGGCAAGAATGAAACCGACCTACTCAAAGTGATAACCTGCACAATAATATTGACATTTTTCCTTACCCATCTCACTTTTCCCACTTGTTTCTTGACCTGGGTCATAGTTATACAGGCATTGGTTTGATAATAATTAAACTCTACATTTATATTTTATATACTTTATATATATATTTATTTAATTAATTATTTAAAATATAATAACTGTGAGTGTAAATTTAGCTTTGATTCATTGTAATATAAATGAAAGACTTTATACTTTGAAAAATAATAAATAATATGACATATAAACTGGAGAGGAGTAAATGGAGTTAGAGTATTTTAGGTTCTTACATTGTCTATGTATCAGTCAGGATCCTAGCAAGAAACAAAGAAACTTTTAAACTGAGTGACTTGAGAAGGGTTTCATAAAAGTACCATTTACAAAGCTGCGCGCAGGGTTTAAGGAAACCAACAGCGGGAGCCAGCACCCCCTCTAGGCCCAAAGGACAAGAGGAGGAGCAGATGTAGGGACCAAAGAGGGTAGCTCTAAGGAACAGGCCAACTGACAGGAGTGTCGGACTTAGGTGGAGTCCCAGCCCACATGTTGTGACCTAACACAGACAGTTGGGGAAATAAACATTGAACCAGAGAGAAAGGGAGCCAGTTGATGAATCTATGCGGGTCAGTCTCCTGAGGCACAGAGCAGAGAGGAGGGGAGGAAATCGGCCATGGAAGATATCCAGCTAGAGCTGGAGGATGGTACAGCTAGTAATTTTAGACTTTGACAGTTAAGCTAATGCATTAGTAACCACTAAATGAAACCAGAGATATATACCAAATTAGCAGACAGAGAAAAGTAAAATGACTTTTAAAAATCAATCCAAAGTAAAGTTTAAAAAGAAAATACCAAACAGAATAAATGGAAAATAAAAAATAATAGACTGAATGCTCTACTTAAAAGAAAAAGATTATCAAACTGGATAAGAAAGAAAGGAAGGAAGGAATCCAACCATATGCTGTCAACAATAAACACACATGAAACTTTAAAAATAAAATCTCAAGTATATAAGAAGGTTAAAAGTAATGGCACAGAAGGGGGTATATATACTGCTGAGGGTCCCCAAGATCACACACAGACTTGATGGTTCACTAAAAAGACTCACAGGGCTCAGAAAAGCTGTAATATTCACAGTTCATTACAGTGAAAAGATAGAGATTAAAATCAGCAAAGAGAAAAGGCAAGTGGGATAGAGCCCAGCACAACCAGGTGCAAGCTTCCAGGCGTCTCTTCACAGCGAAGTGATATGGTAACATGCTTAATTCTCCCAGCAACAATATTGACAATACATGCAAATTGTTGTCAACCAGAGAAGCTTACCCAATCCTTGGTGTTCAGAATTTTTATTGTGGGTTAGTTATGAAGCACTCACATGACTAATCTTAACTACTCAGTCTCTAACCCTCCAGAGATCAAACTAATAGTGTGTCCCCAGGCCTCAGGCACACAAAAACACTCTTATCAGAGAAAATATTCCAAGGTTATCCTCCAGGAGGCAGTCGTGGGCCAGTACTGAAAACAGGCCATTCTTTGGAATGCGTAGTTTGACCACCCAGGCCTGCTGAGTTAACCCTTCTCTGCACACATACAGATGCTAAACAAAACTATTTATAGCAGAAAACATATAATTAGATATAAGGAAGGTAACTTCATTTAAAGATTCAGCTCAACAGAACAATACATGACATTTCAGCTTACATCCCAGGCGTTGTGGCTCAGTTGGTTGAAGCATCTCCTGTATACCAAAATGTTTCAGGTTGATTCCCGGTGGGGGTACATACCTAGGTTGTGGGTTCGATTCCTGATTGGGGCAAGCACAGGAGCATTGATGTTTCTCTCTCTCTTTCTCCCTTCTTCTTTCTCTAAAAATAAATAAAAACATATCCTTGGGTGAGGATTTAAAAATATATATATATAATTTTTTAGCTTACATATACCTAAAACATAACCTTAAAATACATAAAAGAAATTTTGACAGAAATACAAGAAGAATAAAAAAATATCTATACACTTTTCTTGGTAATTGATAATATAAGCAGATCAAAAATCACTATGAATATTGATTTAAATGATGTGATTAACAAGTTCAATTTAATGGTCATACATAAGATCATTCCCAGTATACACAACAATGCAGCATACACATTATGTTTACAAATACTGGCCATGTTCTAGACCAAAATGTAAGTCTCAAAACTTTTTCAAATTATTGAAATTATATAGATTGTGTTATTTAACCACAGTGTGACCCAGCTGGAAATTAATAATAAAAAGAGAATTATGCTCTGGCTGGTTTGGCTCAGCAGTGAGAACAATGGCCCGTGGACCAGAGAGTCATGGGTTCAATTCTGGTCAAGGGCATGTACCCCAGTTGTAGTTCATCCCCCATCCTGGTCAGGGTCATGCGGGAGGCAACTAGTCAGTGTGTCCCTCTCACATCGATGTTTCTCTCTCTCTCTCTTTTCCTTTTTTTCCCTCCCTCCCACTCTATCTGAAGATAAATGAAAGAGTATTCTCGGGTGAGGACTTAAAAAAAAAGAGAGAGAATTATACTGTTGCCATGTTTTTGGAAATTAAGAATACACTTCTAAATTACCTTAGTTTAAAGAAGAAATTATAAAATATTTAGAAATATAAGTAAAAATGTCACTTATCTAAACTTGCCAAATGCAGTTAAAATAGTACCTAGAGGAAAAGTTTACATCAACCTTTTTACATTAGAAAAGCCAAAAATTAATGAAATAAGCATCCATCACAAGAAGTTTGAAATATATATATATATATAAAATAAATCCAAATAAAGTATAAATAAGAATATAATGAAAATGTGAGTGGAAATCAACAAAATAGAAAACATGTAATAAAAAGAATAAAAAAACAAGAGTTGCTTCTTTGAAAAGACTCGGCAAAATTGACAAAAATCTGGAGAGAGTAATGAAGGAAAAAAAAGAGATCATGAAAAATAATATCAGGAATAAAAAAGAGGAGTAATAGAGAGGCTTCAGACTTTAGAAATATTGAGATATTATGCTAATAAATATGAAAAGTAAAGTGGAAAAACTGCTATAAAAAAAAAGTATCTTTTCGAAGGTGACTCAAGAAGAAAGAGAAAACTAACCAGTCCTATTAAAGTAATCAAAATCTTCCTACATAGAAAACACAAAGCCTAGATGGTTTCATTGATGAGCTCAACAACATAAAATGTACAAAAAAATGATAATTCTGATGTTACTAAATATACTAGAAAGAGAAAATGTCACACATTAAGATATGTTAAAATATGTATATTCTCTTATATTTTCCTCCAGTACTTTTTTTTTTAATCCTCACCCGAGGATATGTTTTTCATTGATTTTCAGACAGAGTGGGAGGGAGAGAGAGAGAGAAAAACATTGATGTGAGAGAGACACATCCATTGGCTGCCTCCCACACGACCACAACCAGGGCCAGGGATCCAACTGAAACAAAGGTACGTGCCCTTGACCAGAATTAAACCCATGACTCTTTGGTCCTAGGGCCAACGCTCTAACCGCTAACCCAAACCAGCCAGGGCTCCTCTAGTACTTGTGTAGTTTTATCCTTATGTTAAACAACTTGATTTATGTGTAATTTATTTAGCTATAAACAACGAAGTAGCGATCCATCTGTAGCCTCTGGAAGAACTGAAAATCGAAGGGGAGCCTGGCCAGTGTGGTTCAGTGGTTGAGCACTGACCCATGCACCAAGGGGTCGCCAGTTCGATTCCCAGTCAGGGCACATGCCCAGGTGGTGGGCCCGATCCCCAGTGGGGGCCATGCAGGAGGCAGCCAATCAGTGTTCTCTCTCACCGATGTTTCTATCTCTCTCTCCCTCTCCCTTCCTCTCTCTAAAATCAATAAAGAAGAAAATTTTTTAAAAAAGAAAATAGAAGGGGATTGGAGATTTTTAGCTTTCATTTGATATTTCTCTGGACTATTTCTTATTTTCAACCAGGCATATACATCTTTTATAATTTTTAAAACTAATTTTAAAAATGATTTTCATGTTTTTCAGTCTTTACCTGAATATGGCTTATCCTGGATTTCACACTCTCCTGGGATAGTTTTTATTAAGTTTCCCATACCTCCTCTCACATTATGAATCTATTAGCTCCCTGAGTAGGGTCATTACCCCTCCCACTGACGTCCAAACCGATGAGACTCAGACAGGAGAGCCCTTAGCATGGGGATGCACGTAGAGAACACTGAGCACGGAAGCCAGAGTGTGGGCAGTGCCCTAAATCAGGAGTCAGAGGCACGTGCTGTTTCCATGGACATGGCTAGGACCTTTGGCCAGATCTTTTACGGAGTGCGCCCAGAAGGCCAGCTGCAGCATGGCTGACTTGCTCAGAGGTTGTGTTAACCA